CAGCAGGTTGAGGTCGGTTAAGATGCCAAACATGAACTCTTGTCTCATTTCCTTACAGTTATGGACTAAATACATAGAAATGCCCGAACTATCATTGTGACTATAAGACATTGAAAACGATGCTTAAACACTCCCGACTCAGAATAACATTATAGGTTCTCTTCCCTCTCATTCAACTGTTTGAATGCAGCATATATACAATCATGTTGCATTATGGGTAGGATCTAATGTTTTTGGAGCCAAATGGGAAACTATAATGTGAAAATATTCTCAAACCTGCTGCTGCCACCAATCGTGAAAAAATATTCCAAAATCTGTCTATCTCAAGTCCCTGAACGTTTAATAACGTGCGGCACTAAACCGGATGAGTGGTCCTTTAAACCTTATTGATGAGCTCATATTGAATTACCTGTTCACTTATTAGAACCAGCGACTCTTTCCAAGGCTGTATCAAATATGCAGCTCTCATGTTCAGGGGGCAATATTTGGAGAAGGGGGATTTAAGTCATATATATATTAGTTATAGGGGGGTCAAACCCTGACCTGAGTTCACTCCCATGGACTCGGTTATGATGATGACTCCCCCTTGCAAGTTCAGGTCCAGTCCCCTCAGGAGAGACCCGCGCAGACATTGCCTCAAGCACTCGTTTATTTATAGCAGGGCTCTTTGTGAGGCTGCCATGTTGCCTGCGAGGTAACTGCCCGTCCGCCCCAGAGGAGATACTGCGGCACTGAGTCACCGGTCCCGGTCTGTGCAGTGCTGTGTGGCTCTCAGGTTCACCGTGTTGCTTAATTAGGACATCCCGGAAGAGTGTCGGTCCTGCGCGCAGCTGAGTGACTGTGCAGGGAGGCAGGAGGAGACCGGAGCGCACAGCCACGAATCGAAGAGGATACTGACAAATCCCAACAAAACATCCCTGCAGAAATACACCGCGGACCAGAGGGAGGAGTAAGATTTTCTGAACTCACGGGTTATAAATGAACTTTCATGTTTGGTTCATTTTCGGGGTGGGTGGTGGGGGGGCGGAGGGGATACCGTCCTGCAGTGTGGGGGGGTCCGAAAAGAGATGTGTGTGCGCAGAAATATGTCCAGAGTCATCTTCACCTGCTTCCTGTGCGCCATGAGCCACACTGTAGTGATTTCTGTACCGATTTGTTCTTGTCTGTCTGCTGGAGTAAGAGTGATATTGTGTGATATATAACGGGGATATTGTGGCTCACGGACCATGAGGCATCAGATTTGAGGGGCGGTGTAAAGTGCTGTCAGCGTGCCAGTGCAATGTCATCTTTTATTATGAAGCGTGATCATCTTTGGCCTTTGGGTGCCCGATGAGCACCTGGAATCAGACAGTGTGAGGGTCAAACACTATCAGTGCTATTGATTATAGATTATAGATTATAGATTATACATTTGTTTCACATTTTTTAACCAAACTTCAGTTGTCACCTGAAGGTCCATTTGGTAGCTTTTGTCTTAGACTTAAATGTTACTTTTAACTAAACTTTAAAAACAATATGGTCAGGAAAAAATGAAAATATACTGAAATCTGCTGATGAAGATCATGTGATACGATAGAAAGCTCCAGAGCCAGTCCTAAATGGACCTTAGGGTGACATTGTTTTATCATCTTTAGATTTCTTTTTTATCACACTGCCTCTTATAAGCCTATAAACACATTCACACGTCAATCATTAGGTCCATATTACATTGACTTCATAGCTTTTTCATTGACTATTAATTAAGTATATTCAGTAGATCATCTATATAAATATAATAACTGTATGACTTACGTTTTTATTTCCGTTACATTAAACGATGATTCCGACTTTCAGCTGT